TGATCCATTGCACTTTTGGTTGACAAAAATTCTTAGTTTTTTTTTTGGATCTTCGTTTTTCTTTTATTTTTCTTCGAAAACATTGAGAGTATCTTCGCACGTGATTACGAAGTTAACTTTTCCTGTGGTGGCATCCCATAAATCTTATGGGTTAAATGAATTGCGTATAATGCCACTTTGACGAAGTCGATAATCGCGTATAATTTAAAATGCATCGATCTTATCGATTCGATTAAATTCGCCTGCGAGATCCATAAGCATCCGGGCACGTTACACGGATTATATGGGCTGGCACGTGTAATTATCGATGTTAATTTTCGAAAATTACTTAAATTATCGATAACGCTAAATTAAGCTTAACGACGGCTCCGTAAGTGCAATGAGCATCCGCTTGTTGTCTGGTTTCCAGGTACCACGCGGGAGTCAGAGATTTTGGTTGAATCAGGATTTTGAATTTTTTTTCTTTTTTTTTTTTTTTTTTGACTAACGAAACTTTTTACTCGTCTGGTCTGCTGGGGTCAATGACCTGGTGCCAAAAAAAAAAAAGGAGACACCGAATGCATCCTGGCGCGGATTTCGCAGCTAGCGTAAAAATGTAGCGGGATAGGGGGAGAGAAAGGGGTGCGGAGGGGGGGCGGGCGGTAGAACAGTTACAAAATAAAAGGGAAGGGAACTGAAGTGCATTCGATGTTTTATGGCCGAGCGCACACGTACAAAACGAGTCTGGAATGTGCGTGCAACTACAACTTTAGCCGCAGACGTTGTAATTAGAGCGTTTTTTATTTTGAAAAAAAAAAATAAATAATCGTCGGAAATTTTTTTTTCTTGGCCTGTTACTCGGCCTATGGGCTGTATGAATGGTCGGAGATATTTTATTGTGCCGCGAAAGCTAGTTAACGGGGGTATAAATGGGTTAATGGTAATTATGCAATATGAGCGTTTTTTATCTTTTTTTTTCTCAGAAAAAAAAATTTTTTTTTTTTGTATTCGAACGACGTCTCGACCCTGAGGGTAATTTTTTCGTAGGAAATCCGAGATGGATCCGAGTAGGAAATCCGAAATGGCCGATTATTGTGAACGAGATTTTTTTTCCAAAATTCCAATATTCAGCACACGTTTTCCTCGCGTAACGGGATAAACACATGTGTACTCCGGCACGGCCTTCGCCGACGCGAAACCCTGCTATTTACTTACTGTTATACCTAAGGAACGTGATGTTCTTGCGGGCGATGAAGAAAAAAATAAGATGCGAATAAAAAGAGAACGAGGAAGGGAAAGATAAGCCGACCTTCGTATGATTCGACGCGAATAGAATTTTTTTTTTTCGTGAATATTTTATCGCGGAAGAAAGTTTGAATGAAGATTTTGAAAATTCTTCACTTTTGTTTTACCCGTGTTAATTATTGAAATAAAAACGAACTCGTCGTACCCTTAAGGGTTTTGACATTTCTTTTTTTTACCGGCACGTTCGCCGCGAGATGGATAAATATTTTTTTTCTCAAAATTTTGAAATGCCCGCCGAGTTACGTAACAGTCGAAATACATGATCGCACCGTGATTCTGTTTTAGGATAAACAAATTTAAAAGGACAGACAACAACACCAATGTATTTACCGTGCTTTGGTATGGTGTACTTTTGTAATTTGTAAACCCCTACTATCCGTCATGGTCGTTTACTCTTTTTTGGGGGGCGAATTCCATACTGTAAAAATACACGGATAAACCAGGAAAAATCTGGAAAATGTGACGGCTGCCTAGGGAGACCATTCGACTGGGTGAGAGGGTGTACAGGGGTAAAAAAGTTCGTCTTTCAATCACAAAGCGAAATGGGAAATTTTTTTTTGGACTCTCGACTACCTTTCTTTTATCTGTTTCGTGATTTTTCTCTCTGTTTTTACTACCCATGTCGCATCTCGGCATTTCCGCGCGATATTGACGGAATCTTCCGTCGATGCTATTAGAACCGATACATTTTTATGGTGAAACGCTTTTTCGCGCTTTACCGGTATTTCTCCGTGTCAATCGAAAATTCGTTTTTCAGCGAGCGAGGGAAACACAGGATGATCTTCCTTCCTTCGTTTTCTGATTTTAAAAAACTTGGCGCATTTGGTAAGGCACTTTTATTTTTCGAAATGAATGCGTAAATTTTGTTTCTTCTTGTTTGAACCTCGCGAAACTCGGATTTAATAATGGGACACACGAGCGAACAGAAATCAAAAGAAATTGCGAAGCCGGCTCAGTATTGATTTCCTCGAGGAGTTCACGAGTGGAATTTTGAAGTTTTACGAGACGTTGTCGATTGTTATCTTAACAGAATTTCCGTTTGTTATGGACAGTTGGGTATTTTTAAAATGAAAAGCAACGAGCTACGCGAAACATTTTAATGAAAAAGTTTTGACGGACGATTTTATAATTTTGATTTTTATTTTTTTCTTTCTTCGTTGACTTTCCAAAAATATCCGTTGCGCTGACGTTGGCGAAATGGAACAGTCATAAATAAATGTGACCTATTGCGTACCGCCTTATAATTTATTGGACTATTATAATACTTTGAATTTTTCATTTGGCAACAAAGTTCGAAGAAAGCAGGTTGGTTCGTTGATGGAAAAGCCTTACTGGCAAATCCTCGAAATCTTCGCAATTTCCTACGCCAATAGGGGGTGGAAATGTAATCTTGGTCTGAGGGCTGGAAATATTCCGTGAATTTAATTATAAATGAAATTCGAGACGGTCGAATAATACGGCAAGTATATGGATACTGGCACCTAGTAGTCATTGCTTGATAATGACAGAGGCAGAAAATAACGCGAGCAGACTATGACGTGTCTGATGAAATAATTTCAAAAAAAAATTTCATTAAACAAAAAAAAAGCGTTAGAATGCTATAGGAAGGGTTTGGGAATTTTCTTTAAAAAAAAAAAAATTTCACCCCAATACCGCGTGACGTAAATTTTAGTAGAGGATGAAAACGTTACGACCGGATAGTTTTGGCCCACGGAATATCGAATTGTGCCAAATGGAATAAGTAACTAGACCGAGTGAACTTCCTTAGGCTAGGGAAGTAAATGGCACGTGAAAATAGACTAGATTTCCGGAGAATAAACAACGACGAGAACCGTATCACCAGAAAAGGTATATTCTTTTATATATAAGGTTGTGCAGGCTAGGAGCAGGGACCGTATATATCCTGGGAAATACATAAAACCCAAAATGTTACTAGACGCGAGAGAAACCCATATACTCGACAGGTCTCGATACTCTAGGGAACGTGGATGGTTATACCTACCATAGAAAAATATAGTTTCCATAAATTTTGTCCCCGCGTCATGCCTACCAATAGGATTTATGGTTAAAATGTTTATATGCAAATCGTGTTTAGCGTAGCCAACTGCTGATAAATTAATTCCCATGAACACGATGCGTTCGATTCTCAAGGGTATCAGTGTCGTACGTAGAAGGAGAAAGAGAAAGAGAGAATATAGGATAGAAATAAATATCCCTATACAATATCCGGTACAAAGTACCATTTGAATAAACGTCAAGCACGATAAAGTTTGAATAATCGGTGCAAACTCGATAAATCCCAATTAGTATGTAATTGAAAAGATATATTTTTTTAAATAAAAAAAAAAAACCCTATAAACCACTTAACTGTCCAGGAATATACCTATCGCGCAATAAGCACGGAGTATAGAAAATTACAATGGTGACAAATGACGACGAATTAATCATGGTGAGTTTCTCTTTACCCTTTTTTGCTTCTTTCCACCTCCCCTCCCCGCCAGCCTTCGTCCTTTTTCTCTCCTTTAGACACCGGGAATAAAAATGATTTCTGAGGAGCAAAAGAGTGCCCCGTATCCATCCCGAGAAAATCCCTATGGGACATTCGACGTGTAGCTCGATCGAATTCTAGTGAATAAATGACTGCAGGGGGACGCAAGGTAGTCAAGTGGGAAATTCCCTATAGAGAATTTCACAAACACTCCGGTCGGTTGGTACGCTTGGGTGTTTCTATGTGATATAGACGAAAAGGAACTACGGGTATCCCTATAGATTCATAGGCACACATTCTCTCTCTCTCTCTCTCTCTCTCTCTCTCTCGTATAAAATGGCGTCTGATGAGGTTACGTGAAATTCCCCTAGCACGGACAAAGTTACGTTCTGCAAGGCTGCCAACAGTGGGAGCCGTTAAATTTGCATCGAAATATCGTGATGGCACAATGAGGACTTACCCCTATTTTACCACTCCTCGGTTTGCCTTTGTGTTCAAATGAAGTTTCACCCCCTACGCAACCCTTAAGCCCACCGGCGCCACCCTCGCCACCCTCCTTCTTCCTCATTGGCCGATGTCGTCCCTTTCCCACTTTACGGGCGAGAGCCTCAACGTAATCGTCAAATTTTCACCGAGTACTTTCCTCGTATTTTCTCGTACTCGGATGGTCATTCGAGAAATTTCCAAAAATATACACAACAATGTATTTCGCTATCGTGGCAATATCGAAATTTTAATGACGTCATCAATCGTCGCTATTATCACGACCGTATACGTATATATCGTACTTAAATTTAATCGGGCATAGCAATTGCTCGTAACCTGGAGATTGTTAGAAATTTACCAAAATTTTTTCAGTGACGTAATTTTTTTTTTTTTTTTTTCGGAAAAACGTAACCTGGAGATTGTTAGAAATTTACCAAAATTTTTTCAGTGACGTAATTTTTTTTTTTTTTTTTTTCTGAAAAATCACCATTCGTTTTTCGAAAATTCTTTACGGTATCTGCCAAAGACCCGACGGAGGTTGTGTCGAGGTAATTCGCTTAATTACGAATGATGACGATCGTCATCGCCGAGCCAATCAGCGACCTCGACTTTTCCGACATTATTAAACGGAACGGCCGGAGTCATTTATGCTGACGGCGTAACGCGGATGATCCTCGAATGACTTGCGCAATTTCGTATCCATAATGATCACGCGCCAGCGTGATCATTATGTCGTCCCTTGCGTCATCGACACGTTTCATTAGAATTCCAAAAAAGGTCAACCTCCAAATTTCCATTGCCCCGTCCGTCTCTTCAATTTTTACCTAATTCGCCAAAATTCTCGTACCGCCACCCTCCGTATCCTCAGAGCCTGAAGAATGAAATTTTTTTTTCCCTTAAATCATCCCCCCGTTTACCTTACACCAATGACACTACCGTCATTTATTTTTCTGTCAAAAATTCTACTGCTAATTACCTACCCCTATTAACGTGGCACCCTCCCTCGACAGCAAGATAGACTCGGTCTCGCTTTAAGGCCATTTCACAACGAAACACCTATACCGACGCCATTGTAGATTACTTCTCTTCTTGCTTCAAGCTTGCAATTAGTCACCGGGGATAATGCTGCAATTAGTGTTTGTCTGACTCGTTCCCGCTGCCGAGTACGAATGAATGGCGCTGTATGTAGGGTGAATTCTCCGGTAGCGACTATCGCGTTAATCCATAGCAGTCCAGTGTTGTTTTTGCTTGTAGAAATTACATAGTTATATTTCTAATGGGAAAAATTCATTAGGGAATTGATTTCATTTTTTTTTTCTACTGAAACGACCTGTAGATTAAATTCAGATAAATTTTCTGTACCTTATCCACATCCCTTGCTGGGTCTATCCATCACGTGGTTTTTTAGTTACACCATTAATTTCTGTCATACCATTGCCTTTCGTATAACCACTTAATGACTGTACCGATACATCGGGCCGATGAAAGACCCATTAATTCATGGAAATGCTTTATTGTATTCTGAAAGTACCTGTATATGCCAATTGATCGTTTCCCTATTAGGCTACGAATGCAATTACTCACGTTCGGATAATGATGCAATTAGGTTTGGTCGGATTCAATTCTAACACAGGTCTGGCAACAGTGGCAATGGATCCATTCACGAGGAATATGGGTAGTGATATTATGTATAAGGTTATAGCGTAGTAGTGATACTATGTCCTTAGTATCATTATACTGGATTGTCAGTGACTACTAGTTAGTAGTAACCGTTGTTGTCGTTGCAAGGATTACTTGTCTCCGATCTCAAATTAAGAGAATTGCATTAGCATCTAATTGGAAATTTTTTTTGAAATTTTTGTAAAAAATATTTATTCGTGAAAGTTACGAAAAAAAGTTTTTTTTTTTGTTTTTTTACATTTTTTTAGAAAGAAGATGGTTACGACTGGTTACGACAACAATAGTACTAATGGCGGGTATTGTTTTAAGAGACGGGGTAGGCTTTGGCTTGCAATTAACGAGTGCACTCGAACGGGTCAAGAGGGTATTTTCGAAAAAAAAATGGCTGACGTAATGCTTCTTGTAAAATGGCTGGAGCAAAGTGCCTGCGTTCGGGCCTGTTCGAACTCGGCCACTCCACGATCCCTCCTGGTACAACCCTTTAATTTACTATTGCCAACCCCTGTCCTTTTGCGTTTACGTTTTTTCAAGTGGCGCGATCCTTTGGAATCCTTCGAAAAAAAATCTTATTTTTCTAACTGTCTCGTCAGATCGATGGGTCCTTTTTTTGGGGTTTTTTCTCTCCTCGATGTTCGCGGAAGGTACGACAATTTTATTCGACTCCACGTGCGTTACGAAGCTTCCATTCGGAATACTCTGTTGTATTTGTTGTTGGACATTTTTTGGGAGCTTATTTACCTTGTCTTTCGCAAACTTTTTTTGCTACATTTTTACTCCCGAGAGACTCTGCCAATTTCAGTCTAATTATCGCAGTCAGGAAATCCAACCTGCGCGGACGTACGTAAATAGTGCAGAGGGATGAAAAGGGGGTGGTGGGTCCACGTGTCGAGGACCTGAATGAAATATTTAAAAAGCGGAAAAATATAAATGGCACTCACGCACGATGCCAAGCAAGTCCAGCAATTGACGTGGGAACAATAGTTCTTTTTTTTTTTTCCCCAACACTTTGGAGCAGCCTGTCGCGGTCCTTTTTCACTTTTCCGTATTTTCCAGCATCCCCTCCTTTTTAATTTCGCAGACCAGCCTCTCTGGCCCGACCAAAGGGCTCCTTACTCCCTTGTGCCCTGAAAGAGGTAAATAAATGTTGACCGCAGAAACTTTATTTTTAAACCAAACTTTTTTTTCAGCCCGTAGCTCTTACTCGGTTTACCCTTTTTTTTCTTGCTAATTTTTAACGTGCCTCAATTTGCTCGGAAAATTGATCTTTTTCGAATTTTCATAAAAGTACTTTGGTCTAAGATTTCCAAATATTATTTTGCGATCGGACCTACCAATACGTATACGAAATTCGAATATTCATTTGCTTTCTTTTACGGTGCCCGTGCGCGATATACTTAGTAGTGAAATTAATCGAAAATCTAATTAACCCGGATTAAAATACTCCTCTGTCAAATTGACAAAAATACAATAGCAGTATAGAATGAATCATAGCTCAAAAATTTATTGAGCATGTATTCCATTTACATGATTTTCGTATATGTGAATGTCAATGGCATAAAAGCTGTGCAATTTCGCGTTAATAACTCAAATCGAATCCGTCGTTGACAAATCGAACGAATGTCAGTCAAATAAAAGAAGGATGCTGGCTTAATTAAGGTGCACTCTGATTAATCTTAACCGGTTCCTATTCCATGTCGATTAATTAGTAGAAAGTGAATTGAAGTCTGTGACTAATGATTTGAAAAATATGGCACTCGATGTCATTGAACAAAAAAAAATGGCGAAACAAAAATTTTTTAAAAATATTTCCAAGGAACATTTAGCATTGATTATAGGCAAAACTAGGCAGCCAGGACTATTTTGAGAACAAAGCCGCAAAGATGGGGGGCAATTTTCACCCCTTACCCCCTCGACAATTAAACTTGGCCCAAAGGAGTCCCAAGGGTTGATTATCGCAAAAAGGTTCAGTCGAAAGATTTTCTTCACCTCTCATTCACGGGAAGTCTTGACTTTCTATCCTTATACAATCTGTTAAGGGACAATGTGACCTTTGGCATTTACGCAAGGAGGGACGGCATTGTCCTGGTGGCAGCTGCCCTGTGGAATTTCAGTTCAAGGTCAATAGTAGAAGAGGAAAGGTCATCGTGTTACACGATACACGAAGGACTTGAAATTTTCATGAATTTAAATGTCCGTTTTGTGTCCGGTAGCTGAGCTAATTTTTTGATAGGAATTATTGAAACGAAGTAGTCAGTTTTTTTAGGTTAGAAATATTTAAGTTAAACTTTAAGACTCGTACAATAAATTTCGTGTATTTTTTTTTTAAATTAGAATTTTCATGTCAACCGCCGGTTGGTAGGAAAAAAAAAGTGAGGGCGGAATTGCCAGGAATCGAAGCGAACTTTGAATCGGTAGATTCGACTCAGCAAAATTAATGCCAACTCAGAGGTAAAAAAAACGGCCGAGTATTTGTTTGACGCTTGGTATCGATCAGAATTTAAATATTGCCCAGAACAACTGCACTCGAATATAACTGAACTCTGGAGTCTCTCGAGTTTAAGGTAAATTTTGTACGTCCCTTTGTGGTTTCATTTTCTACTGTTTACTCGGCGTAATCCTCTTAGTCGTAGTCTAATAATAAATCCCAATGCTCGTAGATACGTCGTTGTAGTTACACTGAATATTCCTATCCTAATCTCCAAGCAGACTAAACACGCGAAAACGGAGGATGGGGACAACGAAGAAATTGTAAATTATGTATTCTACCTTCATGCGGTACGAGCGTGGCTTCAGTCTTAATTTTGTCTTCTCTTCTCCTTGTCAAAAAATATTCCAATGGACGAGCACCCGATATTTTCGTTTAAATTACGAAAATCCTTTAAACTTATTGTATTCACGTAGGCACAAGAGTCTCTCGCTTTCGATTTATGGCCGTTCGAAATTTTCATAACGAGCTCCGACACCGTAAATCGTAGAACGCGTGTAAATTGCTACGTGCTTCTGGGAACTGCGCCGACGACTACTGCGCACTCTAGTGGCGCGGCTGACGCTAATGGCGGGACTGGCGGGAATTTCAAAATTCTATTTCACGCCCTTTGTGCATTTTCCCATGGGATATCACGCGAGCAGCGTACATGTCATGGATAAAATGTATTACGTCTGGTTTGCGTATGGGCGTTTGGTAAATTTGAATATTTAACGCGAAGACTGAATATTTTATTGTTATTACCGGAGCAATTTATACCGATCAAAGGAAATCAGGCGAATTATAGTAAACATGTTTTGGATATTAAATTTACCCGCGCTTCTGCTATTAAATTTATGTGTTATCGGACGCTGCTATTAATTAGGGCTTGATATACCGCGACTGGGTTAATTGTATTACGATTATAACGTGGTCGTGTGTGGTGGGAGGTTGAAATAATTTTAATGAATTGAATCTTTTTTACAAAATTATCATGGACTTTATATAATTTTCAAAGATATAATGACTCCATTGTTATAGTCGTGTGGTTCAATAGATTTGTCAAATCAATTATAATTGACGGTATATTTGAACGTGTGCGAATTTTTAGACATTCTGTGATTAATCGGACAAAATAATTTATAGAAGATAATTGACTTGCACCTTATAAAATCATTCAACAAGTTTACCTAGATAATAAAAACTTTTATTCCTTTTGCAATTACACTCGATGGCCATAAACTTGGGTGAAAATTTTAAGAGGTAAAATTATATATACATATACGCATATACCGTAGATCTCAAATATGCATGAAGTTCCGTAAGTTTTGATCGACCCTTTATAAATTAGTAGATGAACTTTTGTAACTAACCAGAACCCAATTAAGAGTAACGATCAAATGTCAAGTTGGCAAATAAAAAATGTCGAATACACTGGCTTTGCATAATCAACAGAATCGTCACTTAAGCCATGCCGAGTACGCAAGTGTATGATTCCCAATTAATACTTTAATTGATTCACGCTCAATCTAGTACAATCAAACCCAAAAGTAATGGAATGCAAATTATGGAAATTCGAAGAGAATAACAAAAAAAAATATGAAAACCGCGATTTTCGGTAAATCAAAATTTTTATCTCACCCCTTCAACGAAAAAGCTCTTGATCCAGGAATTTTTTTCTACACTAGATCGAAACTTAGCGATAACTTCAAGGGCGTTTATAGCTTAGGTGAATTTGTTTAAAACCATTTAAAAATGACGGTAACCCAATAAAGTTCGATTGGATGATCGATGACGACCACCACGTTTACGGGAACCTCTGAAAATTAAATTATACAACGAAGTCACCAGGTTGAAGATAATTCTAGAGTGCGTTCGATATAATACCGTAGCGAAGCTTCCCGCATGTAACCCGAACGTATTAGTAAGCAATCAAGCCTCTTCGTGCAGATATATAGTATAACAAGGGGGCGAAACGTTATTATGAACCGACCATTAGTATGGGATCACCGTAAATAGAGTATAGCTTCTTTGGATGACATATGGTTGTTCATGTATTAGTATACCCTTATCTATATAATAAAAACCCATCGAATCTATAGTCGCTTCGTACTAAGTAGAAGATTTGACTCACCCTGTTTCCTATGTCAGTTCAATTATTTTTTGGATTACCACATTCCACCCTCTTTCATATAACTACCCTGTAACCTAAATCTTAACCAAATTTAGGTCAGGTCGAACATTCCTTATCCACAAAATTAACCTCTCCATAGCGTTATCGGGAAAGTTATCGAACGCGAAAAAAAAAAATTGTATCCAGTCCTTTCTTATTTTATCCCATTTTCATTTTCGCTCCCACGATTCAGGATGATAAAAAGATGGGTTTTGATATGTAGTGATTTTGCGAATTTTTGTATACGCGTTTATACTCGTAATGGTGTTTTTTTGATTCTCGGTGGATATTGAATGTAATAATTTTTTTTTTCAATCAGGTAATTGATAACGGGATGAGTTTTACGTGTGTTAATTGACATTGAGGTATACGGTGTAAAGTTTGATTTTGTTTAAAATGTAGATCTTTTTTTTTTTGTTTTAGGTAAGTCCAATTTTCAATGGCTAAACAGTAATTTGACCGGAAGCGGTAAGACAACAGTTATCGTAATTAATTAGTGGACAGTTGTGAAAATGCACTTTTGATTGAAATCGAAAATCAACACGTAACAAATTTCCGCAGTGCATGATTACCATGTAATAAATCGACGAACGTATGAGCGGCATTTTGGTTTTGTGAAAACAAAATAATTGGGGAAAAAAAAATTGGAAAAATGATGGAAAAATAGAGCAGTTGAAAAGTTGGTTATACATTGCTATTCTATATCCTTTCGTTTCGATATGCTGCATTCAGGAATATATATAGACATATAGATAGATAGTGCATATGCAGTTCAGTATACGAAGAATAATCGATTTTTCATATGAATATTGTTTTTTTTTTTTTTTTTTTGAAATATTATTTCTCTATTTTCCATTTTCCGCAAATTTCATTGTCTTTTACAAATAACGAGAAGCCGCGCCACTCGATTACTCCTGTATACCAAAGATTTTCATGAAAATTCCCTAGCTCGATGCACCAGTATTTATATTCACCCCGGTATGTTTGTGAAAAAGAAAAAAAAAATGGAATATCTGGTGAGGAAAAAGAGTCCCTAGAGAATTCCAACAACGCATCGGTGGGGAATTTTTCCGTCTTTTAAAAAAAATTTCCCCCCTTACTCTTTGCCGGTACCTTTAGATTTCAGTCCTTTTTGTCAGATACCTACCCCAGAACACCTCTCCCATGCGGGTTCCCAAAAAAAAATTGGCAACGAGGCATTATTGGAATCGGAATTGCGGTCGAATGCGGGTATTTGCGAATCAAACCGAGTAGCATGGTTCTATAGTACTTTTTTTTTCCCCCATTCATTTGAACCACTCTCCCCCCTCCCCACCCATGCCTAAACTATTTCCTACATCATTTCCATCCCAAATGCTCAACCCGTCACCCTTTTATTTTGACTTTTGAAAATGACAATTGGCAACGCTGAATCAAACTGGCGCTCGATTTTTTTTACCAATCGAAATTTTTCCCCTAGTGACATTTTTTTCACGACCTACGCGAATCTTCTCAGGGCTACCATCTTTCAATTCGTTAACAATTAAACGAACGATTCCAGCTCCTTTGTCTCTAATGAGATATTTAGCAGACGTTCTACTCGCGAACAATACAATTGAAGAAGATCCGAGGATTCTCTGACATACCTATTAAAAGTTAGCACGTCATACAATTCCCGCGTGACAAATGGAAAGTACCAAAAGTACCACCCGGTAGGGTATTATATTATTAACAATTCATGGAAGGCGAAACCGACACGTTTTCTTCCTGGTGACTTATATCATATATCCCCAAGCACGTAACGTCACGACGCGTACCCGCCTTGACAAATGGAACCTCGAAAATTCCCTAGCACCGACCCATACATTACAACAACACGTATTATCAACGATTCGCCGAAAGCACCGAGAATACGTATTTCCGGACTCCGTCATCGTTCCCCAAAAAATACCCACACGTATACACGAAATAAAAAAAAAAATATGATTCAAAATTCAAAAAAAAAAAATTCCCTAGGAAAAAAAATCTCATTTATCTCCACCGGATTACAAACAGATAAACAGTCGTATACACTTCTCGCACGAAATTGAATTTCCCACAAGAACGGCATTTCGTAATCCCCACGGTAGCGCATAATCTGTCTTTCCCTCCACAACTATATGCCAAGTCTCATCCCAATAGCAAAGTGCATCGTAAATTGCATCGTTGCACTTGCAGTTACGCAATTTAACAACCGGCAGTTTAGCAAGCTTAAAGGGATATGTCGGTAGCTTGGGTTAGCATGCATACATATCCCTGATACCCAATGGGCTTAGGTGGTTGCGGATAGATAAGGTGGTACAACGGGGATATAGGGGGTTGAAAAAAAAAATGGACCACTGGCCAATTCGAAAATTTTTACCAAATCATCTTTAAATCGCGGCGAATTGCATTCGCGCGATGCAACCGCTGGGGGATGAATTAAAAAATTAATTTCATCCCCTAACCCCCCCTTCTGGTATTTTCAACAAGAGCGCATCCCTTGCAGTATCCATGGTTACGGCTACCCACCGGTTTACCTTCTGTGCAATACAGATTGAAGGGTATTTGTGAATTTTTATTTTTTTATCCTCCGATTATTGTTATTATTATGCTTGAATTATTACGGGAAAATGGAGTGGGGGGGGGTTCGAGAGAATGTCTTCAAAATTAATTTTTAATTTTTTGTTTTATCTCGCAATCGTCCTCAGCCTTTGGATCTTCCTTTGATATTCAACCCCCGTGGTCTTTGACCTTCACAGAAAAATATACCGGGTGATGACTTTTGTCAGGCTTTGATCGCGCCGAATGACAGACATATGTAATACCCTTGCGCAACGAATAATGATCTCGTTACTCGGGGAATGCTATCATCTTTTTTTTTTATGCCCTTCGCGCTTTGACTTCGTTTCCGCGGTGCTTCTTTTCATTCTTATTACGGATAACCTTATTTCTGTCTATCGATATCGATTTTGCCAAGACGATTATCCCCACCCGTTATACCTCACTTACTCGCCACCCCTTAATCTTGATTCTGCTTAAGTCTCTCCTTTTTCTCTTTTATGCCCACTCGATATCAGTCTGTCTAGGACTTTTGTCTCCGCCGATCCAGCCTCTGCGAATGAATCAGTCGGTATAAAAAATTGTTATTGTTATTATTATTAACCATTTTTTTTAAACTAAAAAAGGCATACTCGATATCTTGAAAATATACGAATTATGTATTAACGAGGACGTTAAAGGGAAATGAAAAAAGTTTTTTAAAAAATTGACTCGAAACCGTACTTGTATTTTTGGCTAAATACCGAAAAACACGTATCAGCCTCAAAATCATGTTTAACGAACTTTGAGA